CAGGGAGCTGTGCTCCTGCCTTCTCTTAGAAATCGACTTGGTTTGGTCTGTTTCTGGCGGATTTCCGTCAGCTGCTTGTTGTAGCTCTGGAAAAATGTCTCTAGAATGGACCTGACCATATGTGTGTGTGTATATAAATATACATACATATATATATACCTACACATAGATTCATAGATTGGTAAGGAGTTGGAATGGACCTTAGAGAGCATCTAGTCCCAACCCCTGCCCTGGGCAGGGGCACTTCCCTGTATACATATACACATACATATATACATGTACATATGTGCACATACACAGAGATACGTGTGTACACACACATATATGCATGAATACACACACACACACACATAGGCAGGGGCTCTAAACTGGGTGATCATCAAGGTCTCTTCCAGCCCAAGCCACTCTGTGGCTCTATCCCCAACAGGCCTGGTGACAGCGTAAATTTGGTGGGAGTGATGTGAGACTTTGAGCTGATGAGTGGTGTTTGTGCTGCAGTGCCCCAGCACGTGTGGCGGCTCAACGTGGACCCCCCCGAGGAGGCCCAGCACAACCTGTCCTTCGGCGCCACGGATCGCTGGTGGGAGCAGACGGACCTCACTAAGCTCATCCTGGCCTCCAACAAGCTGCAGTGCCTCTCTGAGGACGTCCAGCTGCTGCCTGCCCTCACCGTGCTGGATGTGAGTACAGGGAGCCCTGTCTGCTCCGACTCTGCTCCATGTGGGAGGTGGGGGAACACTTAGATCTCTGTTCGCATTTCCCTGCGTTGGCAGATGGGCACGAGGGGCGATGGTGTGTTTTCAGAAGGGGCTGAAGGAACAGGATGCAGGGAATGGCTTCCCACTGCTAGAGGGCAGGGATAGATGGGTATTGGGAAGGCATTCCACCCTGTGAAGGTGCTGAGTCACTGGCACAGGTTGCCCAGAGCAGCCACACTGTCCAGCCTCTGTGCTGGCCTCAGGGATACAGAGCACAACCAAGGCCAGGTTGGAGCAACCTGGTGTAGTGGAAGGTGTCCCTGCCCAGCCCATGGCAGGGATGGGATGAGATGAGCTTTGAGGTCCTTCCAACCCAAACCAGTCTGGGATTCCATTATATCAGTAATAGCAGCAGCACAGTACTGAATTCTGTACCAGCACAGTGCTTGGGAGCTGCCTCTGACCAGGTGTTGCTCTGTGCCCAAGAACCCACTGCACTTAAAAAAATATATGATTTTTTAATTCTCTGATTTCCAGGATAAAGAAAAGATCATTACAGATCACTGATAATATATTGGCTTATACACTGTTAGTGGGCAGTCACAGAATCATGAATATCCAGGGTTGGAAGGAACCCACATGGATCAAGCCCAGTTTTCCAGCCCTGTAAAAATATCTAGGAGATTACGTTATGGACACTGAGGGAAGAGCTTTACTGAGTGCAAACCCTTTCCTGCACTCTCACTTGTATCTCCAATCTCTTGGCCTTGCCTGGCAATTAAGGAGGGTTTTGCAGTTAACTGTGTACAGAATTACTCTGTGGATCATGTTGGCTTCATTTGTTTCTGGGGTAGAGAAAAAACCTGTAAAAGGTACGAATTTATCTCAATCCCTATCTTTTCCAGGTACATGATAATCAACTGACATCACTTCCATCTGCTTTAGGGCAGTTAGAAAACCTCCAGAAACTTGATGTCAGGTAAGGAGATGCTACGGATCAAACATGAGGAACACTGCTGGGACTTTGGTATGTGAATGGGAGAATCCAGTGTATGAAACTTCCTTTCAGGGACTATTAGTATATAGATTAGAATTGTAAGTTTTGGATCAAAACTGATGATCTTGGGCTTGTTAAGGTTTTTCTCACTGATACTCAAAGTCACTTGGAAGGTGCAGACAGTGATATTCTGAATAATCACACACAAAAATACCTACATTCATTTGCCTCAGTCTGGCAGTTGTGAGTATAAAATACTTTGTCATGAAAAATACACATTGTAAATAATTGTGGAGATCTTGTTTGTGCTGGAAAGCTCCGAATCTTCTGTTTGCAGAGGTAAATTTGTGCACAAGGAGAGGTCATGCTGCTGCCATTGCATGTATGAACTACATGAACCAAGAAAAATATGAGGGACAGCTGAATATTGTAAATTCGGATTAGGATTAAAAGTATTCTTGGACAAATCAATTAGAGCAGTTAATTTTCCAGGAAAGAATCTCTTACAGAGGGCTGAAGCAGGGACGGGTTTCCTCAGAGGTCCAGGGTGTGTGCATGCTGTGGAACACAGGTATTGTGTGTGCAGTTACCGAAAAACTCCTTAGCCTTTGATTTTTCCTTCTGATTTTCCCTCTGTGCCCCATGTCTTCACACCAGCCACAACAAGCTGAGGAGCATCCCTGAGGAGCTGCTGCAGTTGTCTCACCTGAGGAGCCTCCTGCTGCAGCACAATGAGCTCAGCCACCTGCCCCAGGGCTTTGGGCAGCTCCTCAGCCTGGAGGAGTTGGTAAGTTGCAACTTTTCACTGCAATCTTTGTGCTGAAAGGCTGATATACCTGTATGGCCACTGCTAACTGACAAAGCTCCTGGCTCTGGTGGCAGAGCTTCGGGAGTGTTCTCATGTCTTGTGTGGGTTGTGAGTTATTACATAGTGTTCTTGGTTTGGCAAAGGAAATTCAGGTCCCTTGTGATCTGTCAGTGATGAGGGACTTGTCCCTCCTATCACACCTCTGCCAGTCAGATCCTGGAGGTGTCACCCATCTTAATTCTGGTGTGCTGCCAGTATTTTCATAGTGTGTTCAGGGGTTGGAATGGACCTGAGAGATGATCCAGCCCCAACCCCCTGGAAAACTGCCAGGCTTGGGGCAGCCACAGCCTCCCTGGGCAACCTGTGCCAGTGTCTCACCACCCTCACAGGGAAAACTTCTGCCTAGGATCTAATCTAGACTTCGCTCTTTCAGTTTATCCCCATTACCATTAATTAGCTGTGCCCTAGCAGCACTCATGGGATATTTCAAGCGTCTCTAATCTCTTTCTCTTTGTTTTCACCTGCAGGATGTGTCCAACAATCACCTCACAGACATTCCAACAAGCTTTGCTTTGCTCACCAACTTGGTGAGGCTCAACTTGGCCTGCAATCAGCTCAGGGACCTGCCTGAGGACCTCAGTGCCATGAAAAGTAAGGCACTTTCCTCTCACTATTAGATGCCAAACAGCCACTTCTGGGGTCATGTTCAGCAGTGGACCAGGTTAACCCACTGTGGTCCCTTCCAGCCTAACTGATTCTGTAATGTGGTATTTGTTATTATTACTATTGGACTTGTTGGTCTTAAAAGTCTCTTCTAATCCTGATGATTCTGTGATTCTGTTAGGGTTTTACAAGATATTCTTAAATAGTTAATTAATTATCCAGGAAATCACTTCTGAGTTCTTAGTTCTGAGTTCTCTGTGGCAAAATGTTGTTGTATTTATTCCAGATTAAAACCCAGGATAAATATGCTTCTGTAGGAGCTATTTTTATTTTCTCCTGTTCATTTGTCACTGCACATTTGCCTCCACAGGCTTGAGGCAGCTGGATTGTACCAAAAACTACCTGGAAACTGTCCCTCCCAAACTAGCAACAATGGCATCCCTGGAACAGCTGTACCTGAGGAAGAATAAACTACGTTCCTTGCCTGAGTTTCCCTCCTGCAAGTTGCTGAAGGTGAGGGGGAAATGGTTGCTGTGCTGCAAATGTGTTGGCTCTAAACTTTTAAATGGTGGCAGTTGCTTTAAACCCTACTGTTTGTGAAGTGTTGAGATCAAAAGTTGGTGACTGTGTGTTTACAGCTCTATTTACATCCCAGTTTGCAGTTGCTCTTTGCAGTTACTCTTAGTGTCCTCACTGGTCGTTTTAAGGTCATTTGAGAGACAAATTTGCAGCAGAACTTTGCAGATACAGAAATGAAATCAATATTTAGAAGAACGACCTAAAATTGGATCTGCTATTTTCTGCAGCAATTATTTTGTATCTCTAGGAGCTTTTTATTGATAAATTTACTTTGTTCATTATAATTTTTGATTCATAACTGCAGAGAGAATATATTGCTTTTCCTTTTAACATAATCAGATCTTCCAGGTGTTTTGTGGCATTAATCCCTGATACATTTAAACTTGAAAATCACCTGTCAGAACGTCAGGAATTTGTTACTGATAGAAAAACGAAGGACAAGTGAATCCCTACATCACTGTGTTGTTCCCGCTGACCAACTCTGAGGGGAAGACCCCAAGCTGCTTCCACATTTTCTAACCAAATTCCTGGTGTGTGAAGTTCAGTGTCCTGGAGCATCCAGCAGTGTGTGCGCACTCTCCTGGGACTAACGAATCATTCAGTTCTTTCACTAGGAAACATTTCCATCAGGGAGATGAGAGCTGCCCCTCAGCTTCCTATAGCTTGGAACTGGAGAAACTTCTTGAGTAAAAAAGACTTTGAGAAGTTGTGGACAGAAGTGGAGCAGATTTATTCCTGGACTGAAGATGGGACTGAGAGCTGAGGGTTCTGTGGTGGCTTCAGGAGGACCGAGTTCAGTCTGTGTGTCTCTGGGGGCTTTGACATTCCATAGGAGTCAAGGGAATCAAGATCTCAATGTCCTCCATGTCATATTTTTTGTTGATGTCCTGCTTAGGAGATAAGTTATGAAGTAATTTTACTAGAGTGACATAACTCTGGGTGCTCTGTGTCTCCACAGGAATTACATGCTGGTGAGAATCAGATTGAAATCCTAAATGCAGAGAACCTGAAACATCTGAATTCCCTTTCTGTGCTGGAGCTCAGAGATAACAAGATCAAATCAGTCCCTGAGGAGATCACTGTGCTGCAGAAGCTGGAGAGACTTGACCTGGCCAACAATGACATCAGTAGGTAATAGTGGGAGCTGTGGTGTGTCTGTGAGGGGACATGGCTGGTGGCAGCTCATTCCCAATGGATCACACTCTTGGAAGTGCAATTAAGAAAGGACATGATCATAAAATGAAGGAGCTGTGTGTGTATTGTGTGATTGCTGGGATCAAACTGTGCCTTTCTTAAATGCGCTGTGTTCTGCCTGTGACTTCAGTAGGACTTGTCAGTCCTGTGAGGAGCAGCTGAGGGACTGGGGAGGCTCAGCCTGGAGACAAGGAAGCTCAGGGGGAACCTTCTACTCTCAAACTCCCTGCCAGGTGGGGTCAGGCTCTGCTCCCAGGGAAGAAGGGACAGCACAAGAAGAAACACTTCAAGTTGAGCCAGGGAAAGTTTGGGTTGGATATCAGTAAGAATTTCTCCATGGAAAGGGCTGTCAGGCATTGGAATGTGCTGCCCAGGGGGATGGTGGAGTCACCACCCCTGGAGGTGTACAAGGAAGGACTGGATGTGACACTCAGTGCTCTGGTCTGGTGACAAGGTGGTGATGGGTCACAAGTTGGACTTCATGGTCTTGGAGGCCTTTTGCAACCTCTGTGATTCTGCATCTTTTCCTTTGAAACTGGGCTTCAGCATCCCATCTGACAAACCACTGCAGGTCCTTTAGCAATTGTTTTGGAGCTGCTTAGCAAGGAGTTCTTTCCCTCTGCAGGTTGCCTTATACCCTGGGAAACCTTCCTCAGCTGAAATTCCTAGCACTGGAGGGAAATCCTTTGAGAACCATTCGGAGAGACCTGCTGCAAGTAAGCACTGAACTTGGCTTATGCTGTATGTGAGCATTTGCTGCATCCCCACAGTGCGGGCAGTGAGGGGGATTGTGCCCCTCTGCCCTGCTCAGGTGAGATGTCACCTGCCGTGCTGCCTCCAGCTCTGGGCACCAGCAGCACGAGGATGTGGAGCTGCTGGAGCAAGTCCAGAGGAGGCACAAAGATAATTAGAGGGATGGAGCTGCTCTGCTGTGAGGAAAGGTTGAGGGAGTTGGGATTGTTCAGCCTGGAGAAGAGAAGCTCTGTTTGACCTTTAATCTTCCCTGAAAAGCTTCCAGGTTATTCCATACTGGCTTACCCTGCCATGTTCAGTGCAATCCATGCCCTGCCTGCCCTGCAGCCAGCCCAGCCTTCCCCAGCCCAATGTTTTATCTTGTTTCTGTCCTCTCCCCAAATTGCCCATGACAACTCCTTCCTTTCCAGCTTCCGTGTTCTTCGTATCCCTCAGTGTTCATTTCTGAGAATGTGTTCATAGCTGTCAGCTGGAATGAGGAATATTCATTTATAACCATTGCTTTGGGTCTAAAACATGTCAAATTGCTCCCAAACTTGCCTTCAACCTAAACCAAATGGTCTAGAGGAGCCTGTGCCTCATTCCTCACAGGTTACACAGGAAGTGGCTATGTTTGACCAGCAGAAGTTGCTGTGACAGGATCGAGTGACCAAGCTGATAAAAATCCCTGCAAACTATGGAAACTGCAGTGGTTTTCCCAGAGTTTATCATTCTGGACATAAAAAGGAGCAGCACAATGAGCAATTCAGCTTAACTGACAGGTTGTGACTGTCTTCTCTGCAGCATAATTGCACTAGATCTTCTTAAAGGGAAAATGAAGTTACTTAAAACTTTTTTCCTTGCTGTTGGAGCTGCCTAACAACTTCACATCCAAAGCTAAACTTGTGGAGCCTGAGAGGATCCAGGATCAGAAACTTTGGGCTGGAATAAATAAAACCCTACCTAAGCAAGTCCCCAGGAGGGTTTTCCTTTAGGATTTCAGGTGGGATTTTCAGTCAGCAGTGCTGTGGGCTCCACCTGTGTGTCTGGAATTGTCCCTCTGCATGGTCACATCAGCTGCACAAACACAGCCTGGCAGGGGCTCAGTGACTTGTCTTCTGTTTCTCTTTTAAAGAAAGGCACCCAGGAACTTTTGAAATACCTGAGGAGCAAAGTCCAAGGTATGCTGGTTTATCCCATGGCATTTGAAGAGACTGTTCTATGAAGGTAAAACAAATCAGAACCTAGGGAGGGCAGTTGCTTAATCCAGGTCCCTCCAGTTCTTTTGCAACAATAGAGATTTCTTCACTCAGGTTTGCTCTTCCATTAGACAACACTAAACAACAAACATTCCTTATTGAGTATTATCATTGACTAAACTTATCTCCACGTGCTCGGCCTCTCTGCTTAGAAGGGAACTTGGTAACAGATGCATCATTCCTTGCCAGTGGTGTGTGCCTGTTCCCTTTCCATGGCCTGTCCCAACCTGCCAGAGGATGGCAGCATTCATTAGGCTTCTGCAGCAGGAAAAAGTGCTCCCAAACGTCAACTTCCAGGGAAATCTGACAGGTTAACTCACAGATATTAATGGGCAGCTGGAGCAGATGCTCAGCAGCTTGTCTGGTGCGCTCTAACGTGATACAGCTAATGCAATTAGCTCATGGCTTGCATGTTCAGCAGTGCTTATGATTCCACTCTGCCTCTCAGGGCATCCATGGAGCTAAAACAGTGGCAATCCTGTTCCTGCAGAGATTCAAATTGGGAAAACCCTCTTTTTTTTAGCCTGTTTTTGCCCCTTTTGCCCTTGTTTAACCAGAGAATAACTAGCTGTGGTTGGGCACAATTGTCAGTAGACTTTTATCCATGGATGCTGCTGAATTTCTGGAGAGTTTTGTGGAATTTCTTTGGGTGGAAGTTGGATTTATGGTATGTTTGGACTCTCACCTAAACTGCATGGGAAGCCCTAGCTCAGGTGGGCAGTGGCTTTTCCATGTGGGTAGGAGTCAGAAGGAGCTTCACAGAGAAGGGTGTGCTGAGGGCTTATAAATAGTAATGTTTTGACTGAAATTGGGATCAGATTTGCTGGTGTGGCTACAGGTGCTCTAGGTCATAATTTCTAGTCCAGATTCCCTGTTTCCCACTGTTCCTAGCTCCCTGCCCCTCAGAGGCTTGAGCCTCTAGAGCAGCCACCAGCACAACATCTTTCATGGTGCCCATCCAGGTCAACCCCTCTCCCTCCCACCCCCTAAAAACCACCCGAAACCAAACAAAGCAGAAACCCAAGAGGACAAAACAACCTTTACTAGGAAACTATTAATACAATGTGAATGAGATGTTATTAGCTGAGCAGAATTACAGGCAGGGTTAAAGAGGGTGATGGCAGGGCCTAGGGTCACCGAGCTTCCCGTCCTGGGACGCTCAGAGCAGCAGAGTTGTGTGACTGTGCACCTTTGTTGTCTCCAGATGATGTTCCTGGCCCCAATGAAGAGCCTCCTGTGACAGCCATGACTCTGCCCAGTCAGTCAAGGGTTAACATGCATGCCATAACCTCCCTGAAGTTGTTGGAGTACAGGTATGTGCTCAGGAATATAACCTCTTCCTAAAGCTGTAAGAACACTTCTATTTCTGGGTTGCTTTTCCCATCCATGATAGGTATCAAGCTATCCACAAATCCTGCTGCCTTTGGGCATTTTCCTCTTTATTTCTTGTGCTCAGGAATAGGCAGATCTGGATAGCAGGGATATAATTACTGATTTGTAATATCAGATATTCCTCAGTAACTCACTGAAGTGCTGAACAGCCTGAGGTGCTTTAAGTACCTTTGAAACTCTTCAGTGAGTTTCATTAAGCCTCAGAACATTGTAGTAAGGGAGTGTCTCCTCAGCTATTCCTTAAATGTACCTTGAAGGTTTGGAAAAGGGGAAGAAAACCAAGAAGGACTTGCGGTGTTGGTGGGTGAGAAACTCCACATGCCCTGGCCATGTGCACTGGCACCCAGAGCACCCTGTGTGCTGGGCTGGTCCTACAGCAGCTGAAGGAGATTGTTCCCCTCTGCCCTGCTCAGGTGAGACCCACCTGCAGTGCTGCCTCCAGCTCTGGGCACCAACAGCAGGAGGATGTGGAGCTGCTGGAGTGAGTCCAGAGGAGGCCTTGGAAATGTTCCAAGGGCTGGAGCAGCTCTTCCATGGAGCCAGGCTGGGAGAGCTGGGGGTGTTCAGCCTAGAGAAAAGAAGCTCCAGGGAGACCGTAGAGCCCCTTCCAGTGCCTGAAGGGGCTCCAAGAGAGCTGGGGAGCGACTTGGGACAAGGGATGGAGGATCAGGCCAAGGGAATGGATTCCCACTGCCAGAGGGCAGGGCTAGATGGGATATTGGGAAGGAATCCTTCCCTGTGAGGTTGCTGAGGCACTGGCACAGGTTGCCCAGAGCAGCTGTGGCTGGTCCGTTCTTGGGAGTGTTCCAGGCCAGGTTGGATGGGGATTAGAACAATCTGGGCTGGTGGAAGGTGTCCCTGCCCATGGCAGGGGGTGGAACTGGATGGGATTTAAGGTTCCTTCCAACCCAAACCATTTCAGGATTCTGTGGTGTTTGCTGACAGTACCACCAGGTGCTGTGTGACCTGGGGCAGTGGTTGGAGCTTTCTCATCAACAAGCCCACAGACTTCATATTGCAGCTATTTACCTGTCTATTCTAACTGCATCCTTTCTAAAAGAAGGTGCACACGCCTTGTTAATTAACAACAGGGCATGAGGAAGTGTGTAACCGTGGTCCCTGCTGTTCCCCCCTCAGTGAGAAGCAGGCAGCCACCATCCCTGCTGACATGTTCGACGCTGTGGGCAGCAATCCTGTGGCCACTGTCAACTTCAGCAAAAACCAGCTGAGTGAGGTTCCCTCCAGGTACTGTGTGAAGCTCTTTTCCTCTCTGTGACTTGATTTCCTTCCTACCTTTGCTCTCAGCTGAGGCTGTGCTCTGGGTGTTTGTGCACACACAGATCCAGGTGCAAGGGAGATGCAGAGACACACTAGTGTTTGTGGCAGAGTGCAGGAGGGACTGTGGAAGCACTTGTGTCATCCACAGCCAAGGGAGAGCTTTCTCTGGCTCTAATGGGAGCACATAGCCCATTTGTTTAAGGAGGGAGGTTGCTGCATAGCCAGGAGCTCAAAAAAATCACCAACACTGATTTTGGAGGTGACCACACACTTGTGGGGGTGACTTAGTCCATTCCTGGACACAGGTGTGCTGAGCATGGAACCTCCAGCACACACAGCTTGAGGAGGTGCAATCTCAGAGGGAAAAGAGTCTGTTTTCAGTACAATTTCTGGAAGCTCAGTTTAGTGAGCTGCTGCTTGTGCCTCCTGTGCTTTGTCACTGTGTGAGAGGCTGCTGCAGTCCCTGGGATAGGTGTGGGTGTGCAGCTGCCTCAGAATTTCTGTGCCAAGCTGAGTGTGTTCTCCTTTAATTGCCTTTTCTTTTTAGGGCTAAACCAGAGGTTCTGTTAGGGGGTTCAACAATGACCTTTCTGAGCTTTTAAATCCTTTACACCAAAGCATCTCAATACAACAACCTTCCACAAGCACCAGCAAATTTCTAACAGTGGAGCAGAAACAAAAGATGCGAAAAAGCAGTAGTCTCTCTGGTTGTCTGGCTGCTAAAGAAGGTGGATAGGGTCAGTGTTAACCATCTGCAGGGCGGGGGATGGCAGTGATGGTCACCTGTGCTGTGGTCTCTGAAACAGCTCTGGAGTATATTTGCTGAGGCTTTTGCAGCAGAATTTACTCTCCTAATCAGTGAGAGAAAATGTGATCTCCCAGTAACTGTAAATAAGTGATTGCAGCTTTGCCTTGCACCAAGTGTAAGGCCTGCGAAGTAGCAGTTCTCACAGATGATGTTTCCTTATCTTCTCTCACAGAATTCCTTCTGAAAGGTCAGGAAACACAATGTGTCCTTGATTTGTGGCGTAAAGGAGGTTTTTTAGTGACTCAGAATGCAAACATGAGCTTGCATGATCACAGTGTGTCCCTTCTGGGTTTCAGGCTTGTGGAGCTGAAAGACTCACTCTGTGATGTCAACCTTGGCTTCAACAAACTCTCCTCCATTTCCCTGGAGCTGTGCAAGCTCCATAAATTGACACATTTGGATCTCAGGTTTGTGATGTGTGTGGGACTTCCTTTCCTGGTAACTCATTTTCATGCCTCTCTAAACCAGCCATCTGTTCCAGCAGGGAGAGCAGCACTGGAATAGGTTTTCATCCCCAAAATGAGAAATTCCACAAGATTTCTTGGCAGTTAATGACCAGCAGAACCCAAAGAGCAGTGGCTTGGATTTGGGCCTTGATTAAAGAAAACACAAACAACTGGACCAGCTCTGAGGCTTGTTGTGAGGCCTCAGTCATCAAAGGGACATTAAGTTGCTGGTTAAAAACACCCCCACCACCCCCAAGAGAAACCCACGCCAAAAAATCCTGGGAATTAGCGCAGTGAAGGTGGAGATCTTGACATGCTGCCAGAAACAGAAGCAGTAGATGGCAAGAGATGGTTACTGCTGTCATCCTGCTGCTCTGACTACTGGGAATTGCTCCTTGCATTGTTTAGCAGCAGGACTGGCTCAGTAAATGGATTTTGGAGAGGTTTGGAGTTATCTGAGTGAGTCACTTTGACTCCAGGATCTGAACAGTTTCCTAAGCTTTCCTCTGGCACCAAGGAGCCAAATTGCCAGGCAGGTTTGTGGAGTTGTTGGATCCTTGGGAATCTTTAGAGGACAGGCTTAGAGTTTCCTGCAGACACAAGTGAGAATCCAGCCTGGCTGGAATTAGGCAGTGTGTATCCTTGGCCATGATCCTGCCCTGTTCCTGAGGCTCTGACCTGGCTCCAGATGTGCAGCACTGGTCAGTGTGGTTGGTATGTTGTTTCTGGGGATTCCCAGCTAGACCTCCCACAAGTTAGTGATTACTGTTTGTCTTGCTTTGGTACACAGAAACAACGTTTTGACATCTTTGCCTGAGGAAATGGAGGCACTGACGAGACTACAGATAATAAATCTTTGTTTTAATAGGTGAGCAGCTCTTTACATGTTTTTGTATACAATAACACAAAGATCTAGTCCGGATTTGATACGATTTTCCTGTGATGGAAGAACGAGGAGGCATTTGACCAACAAGCTGTGAGCTCAGAACCCCTGAGGTGCTCTTGTTGTCTCTGTCTCTGACCACCTCTGCTTTGCCTCCTCTCTCTTCCTCAAGATTTAAAGTGTTTCCCAGTGTCCTTTATCAGCTCCCAGCCCTGGAGACCATCCTGCTCAGCAACAACCAGGTTGGGTCCATCGACCCTCTGCGGCTGAAGGCCATGGACAAGCTGGGAACGCTGGACCTGCAGAACAACGATCTCCTCCAGGTGCCCCCAGAACTGGGCAACTGTGAGAACCTGAGGTGAGTGTATTCACTGCTGACCTGATTACAAATATGTGTTCTGAGTTCTCCAGGAGTGTTTGTCAGAGGAAGAAGCTCATGAGCAGGATGTGGTTTTGGAGTCTCAATGCCCCAGAAAGGTCTCTCTGACCATTTGTTAAGGCAATTTCTGCCATAATTTCTTAATGTTGTAGAGAATTGGAGGAGTTGTTTCACCATGTAAAAATGATGTGAAGGGTCTGTTGGTTTGTGTGAAGCTGATTTAAAGCCTTGGATACATGGGCTCTACATCGAGTCACACTGCTGCTGCACCTGCAGCCAGGCCAGATTGGACCAGGTGACCCCACTGTGGTCCCTTCCAGCCTGAACCACTCTGGAATTCTGTATTTCTGCAGCTTATCTCTCACTCTTCCTCCTGGCAGAGGCTCGAAGGTGTGGGGTATGTGCTGCAGCAATTCCCCCATTGATTCATGAGCATAAATTAGAATTCAGATAGCGCTAAAGCTAAACTGGTGTGAAATAGGGAAGCAGAAATCAAAACTCTTAGTGGAACAGAAGAGGAATTGCTTAGGAATTCCAAAAGAGTCAGCAGCCTGTCTGCAGTGCATGACTGTGTGGTCCCAGCAGTGTTGATCCCGGTGCCAATCTGTGTTTTCCAGGACATTGCTGTTGGAAGGCAACCCATTCCGCACCCCCCGCGCGGCTGTGCTGGCCAAGGGCACAGCTGCAGTGCTGGAATACCTCCGGAGCCGAATTCCCACCTGAGCCTGCAGCAGGGACCACAGCACAGCCACTGCTACCTGTCTGGTCAACACCCTGGATGCCACTGCCTCCTTCTCCTCCTCCTCCCTCTGAGGCTGTTTGTGTGTGCAGCCAGAGCTCACCTGTGACACATTCCCCCAGTGCATGTTCCAGTGGAGCATTTTGGAGCACTCTGTTTACACTGCCATGATGGGCACCATGGAAAGCCACAGGGATTTCTGCCACCCAGCTCATTCTCAAAGAGAATTTGGGCAAAGGGCAGAAGGGGACACTTGGATTTTTGTATCCCTTTTAAGTCTCTTTTCACTGCTGCCCCCAAAAGTGACTGCTGGTCTGTGGGCAAACATTCGAGGTGTGAGGTAGGTGAGAGTGTGTGCATGGCTCACCTGGGAGGAAGGAAGGTGGCTGGTGTTGGCAGCTGCACTGAGACAATAAATGTTTCTCCTTGGATGTCTGGTTTGAGTTCTTTAATGATGTGGTGTAGTTGAGTTTTGTAGCCAGTAACATTGAGTTACTTTCGTTCTTATTCAAACAGTGCCATGTCCTGACAGTGGTGCCTGCAGTGATAAAATGCTGCAGTGTAGGTGCTAATGATGGATAGTTACACAGAATTACTGAGCTTGGAAAAGGCCTCCGAGACCACGAAGCCCAAGCTGTGACCCATTACCACCTTGTCAGTTAGACCAGAGCACTGAGTGCCGCTTCCAGTCATTCCCTGGACACCTCCAGGGATGGTGACTCCACCACCCTGGGCAGCATATTCCAATGCCTGACAGCCCTTTCCAGGAAGAAACTCCTCCTGATGTCCAACCTGAACCTCCTCTGGAACAGCTTGAGGTGTTTCCCTTGTGCTGTCCCTTGTTCCCTGGGAGCAGAGCCTGACCCCACCTGACTGTACCTCCTGGCAGGAGCTGGAGAGAGCAGAAGGTCCTTCCTGAGCCTCCTCTGCCCAGGAGCAGATTCCGAGTGGGATGTGTAGAGCAAACCCTTCCCTTCCTTCCCTTTCCAACAGCAAAAACCACGACTGAACCCACTTACAATAAGGTGACGTTTTTATTATTTATACAATAAAGAGACTTTTGAATGTTATTCAAAACACTTTTTTCTTTAAATACTGAAAAAGTTGGGTACACCAAAGCCGAAAAATGGCTCTGCTATACACTGCACAGTCGGTTCAGTCCCTGGGCTGCCTGTGCACAGAAGCAGCTGCAAGATGCATCATCACCACCACACGCAGCGCCAGGGCCGGGGAGGCACAGCCTGCGTGTGCCGAGGGACAGCACTTGATTGCACTCAATCAATAAGGTTTAAAATAGACTCTTGAAGGACCTTTTTGCACAGAAAATGAAGCAGCTTTCAAGTTCAGTTAAGTCTTTATACTGCCAGAGAAAAAAAAACAAAACCATGAAGTAGTACATTCACGATCTAGGTTAGTAAAGTAGTAAATATTATCCTCATTCAGCTCTATTTACAGGGATACTGGAGTCCAACTGAAAAGTACAGTCATTGGAATATAGCAATCTTTGAACACATACAAAAATGACCATTTCTGTATAGAATTTAAGCTCAAAATCACAATTATCTCAAAATATTAATTACAATACAGCCATCTCCATCATAATTAAACATGTCTCTTATAAAATGGTAAAATCTCTCCAAAAGGAAGCTGTTGGTTGAACTGGATACAGTACTCACAGGTAGAAAACCGAAGTGATGAGCGTGTGCTCTGCCCGAGGAGGGGACAGGAGCCTCCAGGCCCCAGAGGGACAGCCGCAGAGCCTCCTGTGCCTGGAGGCGCCTGGCAAGGGCTGGGGGTCCTCACACAATGCAATGGTGTCAGTCAGTCACTTCCACAGAATTGCCTGCAATCAGCCAGGGAGAGGATTGGCAAAAAGCTTTTTGGGTTGGTTTGAAAGAGAAACTTGAAATTCCATGATTTTTTTGTCATTTGGGATTGGCTTTTTCCCATGGGCTCCTTGACTGGGCTCAGGGGCCAGAGCTGTGCCCCACGTGTGGCTCCTGCCTGGCAGCACCCACGGGGGCACAGCCAGAACAAACCAAACCAGCAGCTGATCCATATCCTATCCAAACTACTGCCCGGAAAGTTGTATTGGCACAGTGCCTTCTGCTGCCCCTGGCAAGGGATGGACTCAGAACCTGCCTGGAGTGGGGCAGGATGGCTTTGTGCGCTTCACAGGGACACTTGGGGGGGACAAGGAGGCGCTGTGCCAGCCATGGGAGCTCAAACTGCAGAGACAATTCCCAGTCGCCTTTGGAAATTCTAACTACAATCCCAGCAGTTCACAGGATCGTTGGGGTTGGAAGGGATCATCCAGTTGGAGATCATCCACTCCAACCCCTCTGCCAAGGCAGGAACACTAGAGCAGGAGACACAGGATCAGAGTCCAGAGAGGGAGACTCCAGACCCTCCCTGGGCACCTGTTCCGGTGCTCTGCCACCCTCCATGGAAAGAAGTTCTTCCTCATGTTGAGGTAGAACTTGGGGTTTAGTTTATGGGCAAATCCTGCCAAGGTGGGTGGTGACTCCAAAGCTCTGTCACCTCCTGTGCCTGTGTGTGATCTGTGTCCTGTTGCTGTGGGACAGAGTCTGCCTGACCATGGGGTCACAGAGCCCCCATGTCCTAGCTGAGCTGTGCTGGAGGGTCTGGGCAGCACAGCTCCAGCTCCAGCCCTCATCCTGCCATAGTCAGTTCCCAGGAATAACCATCCCAATCCCTACTCACCCCAGAGCCTGCACAGGAGCAGATCCAAATGTGTGGGTTTTCATTTAACACTGTTTTTGCATTTCCTGTTGCATCTCTCCCCATCAGGTACATATATATATACATGTCTATAAATAAGCATTTTTTGCTTGCATAAGGTAATTAGATGCTATATTACAGCAAAGATTTCACAGAATCCCAGACAGTTTGGGTTGGGAGGGACCATTAAAGCTCATCCCATCCCACCCCCTGCCATGGGCAGGGACATCTTTCACCAGCCCAGGCTGCTCCAAGCCCCATCCAGCCCCCAAGCCATTCCAGGGATGGGGCAGCCACAGCTATATCCCATCTATGTATCTATCCCATCTATCCCTTCCCTCTGGCAGTGGTAAGCTGTTCCCTGTGTCCTGCCCCTCCAGGCCCTTGTCCCAAGTCCCTGTGCAGCTCTCTTGGAGCCCCTTTAGGCACTGGAAGAGGCTTTAACTCAGGAACATCTTTCCACTCCAAGTGCTCACTAGCATCACCAAAACAACCTCCCAGACATTCCACACTCTAGTTTTCCTTGGATTTCCTTGGCTCTGCTCTCAGCTACCTCATTCACCCCCAGCACTGTCCTGCCCAGTCCCTGCATGGAGTCCCTGGCCAGGCATGGCCACCCTGGCTGTCACCCCCTGTCCCCTCCCTGGGGCTGGCACACTGCCCCCAAACACTGATGCAGACATGGATGTGTTAAAAAATGTCTTGGAAAATGTTGCTGTTATGAACCACTGGCTGCTCGCTCTCCTTGTCATCAACCATGGAAGCACTGCAAGCTGGCACTGGACAGGGGGGACACTATTGAGGGTGGAGGGTCCTGGGGGCTCCCTGGGGTCTGGGCTAAGCTTTTTGCTCAAAATAATAGAATAAAACCTTTTGGAACCTGTTTTATTCATTTCTTTCCTCACTCACCATCCCCCTGTGCAGGATCCCAGTGCCAGGGGGTGCACGGGGGACCCTCAGCTAAGCAGGGCACTGGTGGCATCTCTCATCCTGGTCCCTCTGCTCACAGCACACAGAGCTGTGGCAAAGCTCCCTCTATCCCACCAGAGAAGGAAAGGTGAGGAATTCCTAGAGGTTCTTGGAGGCAGAGTGGACTGTCCCTGGCTGTGCCTTTGGGCTGCACCCTTGGACATGGGGTTTTGGGTGGGGATGGTGTGGGGGAGCCCAGTGCCAGCTCTCCCTCAGCCCTGTGCCATGGGCGTCAGGCAGGGAAACAGGATCCCTTGAAAACACCTGCTGGGAGGTTTCCCTGTGTTTTTCCACCTTGCTGTCAGGCATAACTACACTGGATCCTTACACCTCTGAACCACCAGCAGCTGGTCTATGCTGTCATTGCCCACCACTGGGAACAGCACCAGAACTGGGACCCAAGGGGCTGTCACACTGCACCCTGCTGCTCCCCAGGATGTCAGCTCTTAAACCTGCTCTCATTCCCTTTAAAAGACTCATACAAAACCCCAGGCAGGGCTGGGAATACCCCAAGCAGGGCTGGCACAGCCAGGAGTGAGTGAGAACACACACCAATGGCCATGGGGAATGGGGATGCCAGTGAAGGGCCTGGAATTTGAATTTAAAAAGTGAAAGAATAAAATTAGCAGCAACAAAAGAAGTTTTACTGCCACCATCACAACCTTCCTCCATCCATGAGCCATACTTGCCTGTCCTTGGTGTGTGTGCACATGGACTCAACTGAAAGTGCCAAACCAAAGGGAGTTAACCCCTTCTGGAGGGAGTTAACCCATTCCAAAGGAAGTTAGAATCACTGAACCATAGAATGGTTCAGGTTGGAAGGGACCTTAAAGCTCATATCATTCCACACCCTTCCATGGGCAGGGACACCTTCCATTAGACCAGGTTGCTCCAAGCCCTGTCCAATCCAGCCCGTTCCAAAGGAAGTTAACTCATTCTGAAAGAAGTTAACCCTTTCCAAAGGAAGTTAGCCCATTCTGAAGGACACTAGCTCATTTTGAAGGAAGTTAACCCTTTCTAAAGGGAGTTAAGCCATTCTGAAGTGAGTTAAGCCATTCTGAAGTGAGTTAACCCATTCCAATGGGAGCTAACCCATTCCAAAGGAAGTTAACACATTCTGAAAGAAACTAACCCTTTCCAAAGGGAGCTAACCCATTCCAAAGGAAGTCAACCCATTCCAAAGGGAGTTAACCCATTCTGAAAGAAACTAACCCTTTCCAAAGGGAGTGAACCTGTTCCAAAGGGAGCTAACCCATCCCAAAGGGAGCTAACCCTTTTCAAAGGGAGAAGTTAACCCTTTCCAAAGGGAGTGAATCCATTCCAAAGGGAGCTAACCCATCCCAAAGGGAGTTAACTCATTCCAAAGGAAGTTAATCCATTCTGAAGGAAACTAACCCTTTTCAAAGGAAGCTAACCCACTCCAAAGGGAGTCAACCCATTCTGAAAGAAGTTAACCCTTTCAAAAGGGAGTTAACTAACCCTTTCCAAAGAGAGTTAACTCATCCCAAAGGAAGCTAACACATTCTGAAGGAAACTAACCCACTCCAACGGGAACTAACCCATCCCAAAGGGAGCTAGCTGAGGTGCCAGAGCTGTGCCTGCTGACACCTCACCCCACGCGGTGAGCGCTGCCAATCCCTCCGGAGCCAGCGATACACACGGCATATGTACAGGTATTTTCATAAGGCAATAGAATATCTTTGCATCGAAAATAAAGGAGCATTATTAAATCTAATTTACTATATACTTTCCTTTGAGGTGTTTATGAAAATATTCTCTTCTCTATACTTTTCGTATGCGACATGATAGAAATCTTTCATGGGAAGTACAGCTGAATAGAGTTCATCTTTATAAAGGCATATACAACTTTGAGGCAGTGTTTCTGATGGACAGCAGAATTCCTACAGGATCTGTATGTGCTTCTGTGTTCGGAAATTATAGGAAATCGACTTTAAGAAGTAACTCGGTTAAAAAAACGCACCAATGCACAGCCAGAGGCTGACAAGGAAAACTAATACAGAGCCACATGACCAAGATATTTATAGAGTTAATATATTTCTCCTGATGATTGGTACTAACATAGAGTATGATACATTTGGCACTACTGTTTGCCATTGGTCCAGCAATTGGCAAAAAAAATTGGTTTCCTATGTATAAATCTGTCTGAACATTAGATCTGGCCTAGACATATTTACTATTTATAAAAAAATATTTAGACAGTAAGCTCACGCTGAATAACTAGGTCTACTGTGTTCTGGAAACTCTTCAGGAGCAGCACAGCCTTCTCGTGTTCCAGGTGGACAAAGCTGTGGCCATTCGCCTGCAGAAGGGACAAATGGGGGGAAGACAATCAGAGAATCAC